TTCTGACAACTGGAAATTTCAGAGTGTGTGGTAAACCTGATGATATCCAACTGAGGCTGGATCTGAACCCACTGGTTCATGACAAATAGTTTTGACCTGCAGTGTTTTCCACGAGTGAATGTTGTTTGACTGTAATTCTATTACCTTGTCCCACTATTTAAATTGCCCTGTTGAATTGTTTCGTCTGACTCGCTATGGTATGTATTTTATGTTTTGCTCAGAACAGAAAAAAAAGTTCTGATGTGTAGCCTGTTAATCCTGGTGACAGAAGGATGAGTGTGTGTGTGTGTGTGTGTGATGAACTCCTCTGGCAGTGGTAACATTAGGAGCTTCATCTAATTTTTATTGTATTAATTAAACATGCAGATAACCTCACAATCATTTAATTAACAAGCACAAACATTATTAGTACCCATGAAATAAATTATCCTACATAAATCTCAGGCACCTCAAAATATCAATTTTCTTCCGTCTCTAGACTGTCGAAAGAAGGAACTAAGAGGCTGGCTGAGAATACTCATAACGGGGACGACAGATTCCATTACTTAAAAGCGAGATAAGTGTGCTCCACGGAAGTACTCGAGGTTGTGGGCAACAGTGAGAAATGCAAATGATAAGCCGAAGCAAAGATTATTATCATTCCGGCTTATTGTGAAACCAAGTCTGGAGAGAGAATCGTGTGGAATAATGTTTACTGTAGTGAGATAATTGGGTTCTTATTTATGTATTATCTGGGTTTTACATCAGCTTAGCAACTCAACTGGGGACAACTACCAAGTAGAAACTGTGGGATAATAACAAACTCTATTACTTATATATCATGGTTTTAGTTTTCGTCGGTGGTAGTAAGAGTGGATTATATTATATAAAGATTATAATATGTTGTGTTTCTTATTTCTTACCGTAGAGTTCGATACCTTCACACTGGTTACTTACAGGAGTTTATGGCGTATCTACGTAGAGGTTCACTCCACTACTCGACATTCCATGATTTATACTTGATAAAAGATGATTTAAAGAATTCCATTAATTTCCAACATCCATCTAAGTTATTGGTCATACTATGTCATAACCAATCAGTCATTACCTTTACTAATAATAAGATAGGATCACAGATATGGGCAGATAATTGCACTTACATTTATTTGTCAAGCTTCCATACAATGATTTACAATTTGCATGGATATACGAGTCACTCACGTTCACGCTGTAATAAAATTAATTTTCTAAAAGAGGGAATTTTCAACTTGGGAACACATGTGCTTACTCTACTATGGGTATGACTTAACAGAGCCTTAATTCTTCAAGTGATACATTTACTGCCAGCCTGGATTGCTCTTGTTGCAACCAGGCTTCCGCACAAGAACTTCTTTCCACGGGGATAACAACAAAGAGTACTCTTGGGTTATCACACATAGTCTCACGTCACTGACAGTCACTGTAGACGGTTGTCGCAGCCAGGAGAACTGGTAAGCGTGACTTGAATTAACCACTTAGGGGCAATAGACCAGCCTGGATTGCTTTTGTCGCAAACAGGCTTCCACACGTGATATTTCCACGGGGATAACAAACCTAGGTTAACACGCTTACTCTCGTGTCGACGACGGTCCACAGGACAGGATGGCGGTGGAGGACTCTTGTGTGGTGTCCCGTTCCCTTCAGGAGGGAGGAAGTGGGCGTCTTGACTAACCCATGGCCACGGGGATACTGCTTAAAATGAGGTTTTGGGGTGTGAGGCGATGAACAGTACCACTGTCTCACTGGCCTCCCCCTAAAGGCTGGCTAACATACCACTAATGGAAAATATATGTCCCAGTTATGCCTCGCCGGGTGCCTTATCTCGAGTAAAACAACTTTGGAGTTGGTTGCATGGGTAAGCCTAACGCAACCCATGACACATACTGTTATCCTTAATTAATAATGTTGTCTAATAAAAATATTAAGAATCCGAGGACCACAACCATCAGAAAATAGGAAATTAACTAAAGTTATTATTATTATTAAAATATAACAGCAAATGAGGTATGAGGACGTATACAAGAAGATATTTATCAACTATAAGAGGTATTTGCCGAGCTGCTAATCATACCTGAAGATCTGGATAGAATGTTAGTATATTTTAGTGTAACAAGCACCATCCGCAGTGTAAATATCAGAAAAGAGCTGAAGGCTGTAAAAGGATTTAGGATGTCGGGAGCATTGGATATATGGAAATAAATTATGGAGAAATGTAAGGAAAAGCATTGAGAAATAGGAAGAGCTTAAATAGCGAATGAGAAAAAAGACTGCAAGTTAGAGTGTTTGGTAATCTTCTAAGGATGGATGTAAAATTCTGGGAAGCTTAGAGGTGGACAGCTTATAAAATATGGAAGTTAGAAGATTTGACAAGGCAAAGAATTAATGTGCATCTTCCTTCTCTTATCCCCTCTAGTCTCCTCATCCCATCCTTCCAACTTCCCTTGCATCTTTCCTACTTCCCTCTCCTGCCCACCTTACTCCCCCCCCCCTTGTATCCTTCCCATTACCCTCTCCTCCCCATTTTTATCCTTCTCACTACACCCTTATCTTCTCCTCCCCCTTCCATTCCTTCTCACTACACTCTCATCCTCTCCTTCCCTCCCATCCTTTCTACTTCCTTCTCACTTCTCCCTCTCCTCAGTACCCTCCCCCATCCCACTCACTCTCTCACAGGATTCAGCCATAGTTTATTCCTATTAATATGGAGGTGGGAGAGGCCAGGATATATAACAGTCTGGGACGTAAATTAGTAAACAGTAACCGTGTATATGGCTCTCTTGGTTTAGGGAATGTCGCCACTGTCCTTCACGTTGAAAACTAATTGAAATTTAGAGGAAAATAAACAGCGATAGTGGTGCTGTTCCTCTAGGATATGCGGGTGTCACGTACCGACTGGATTAATGGTGGTCTTGTGTGTGTGTGAGTGAGAGAGAGAGACAGAGAGAGAGAGAGAGTGTTAATGTGTTAATGTGTGTGTGTGTTTCTTGTCTACTAAGTTAAAGAAAAGATCTAATTGCCAGAAAGTTTGAGACCAACTACAACGGAAAATTCTTTTTCCAGGTGATGCTCACAATGACTTGTTTAAAATATAACTTAAATATGGAGATTTATTTACAGTAACGGCGAAATATTTTATTTTTACTTCTGATTAAAATTAATATAATTCCTAGTTACTTTATGACCTACAGGTACAAAAAAAAACTTGGACATATTTACATTAAACAGTTCTCCGAAAACTATTTTTAGGTTATTATCACCTAAAAACTTCCTAAATTTGAGAAGAAATACTAACCTCTTGCCTCAGGAATTATAGGAGAAAATGTTGCCTACGAAAAAAATACTAACAAAATTTACTTTTTACTATTACATTAGAGATAGTCTCTCGAGCTAAAGTAGTCGCCATCACATAAAACTGTCTGAACTAACTCCTCTGGAGTAAGAGATGCAAACTCTTAGAATATTCTATTAGTTAATGTTGTCATAGTACCAAGTGTAAACTAATTTAAGTCCGGCTTGATCAGCATGAATGTGCTCAGTGCCTATTGACGATGAGAGTCGGACATGTGAGCGACCAAGGGATGAAGAGGATAAGTAAGGTTGAAGGAGTTACTGCGTTTACAGGGAGTGGCTACAGATGCCATCAGTGCTATTGTGGGGAGCCCGAAGCTATAATAACGGAACACGAGACCCAGGATACAATTATGGTTGGGAGAGTTACGGATCGCTGGGTAAATTAAGGTCCTTCTAAGTCGGAGTGTTTCATTTCAAGGAATATTGCATTCGAGAAGGTGAACCACATGCTGAAGTCCAATTACGAGAGAAATGTTGCTATCGGATCCGAATTAATAATGTCCAGTATGTTTGTTATTAGCTTTGTTCCTGTGCTAATTATGTGTTGTTTGTTTTAATGGTTTTCTTTTATATATCTGACTATGTTTTTATGAGTTTCTACAATAACGTAGCAGTTACCAATCTATTAAGTAACTGTTCATCAGATAAAGAACGATATAGAAATCAAAGACGGTGTCGTGTATCGGCCACAATGAGAGCAAACGTCGTTATCTTAGGAAATGCGTTTTTATTATCGCTTTGACGTTTCAGGTTTTTGCTTATGTGCTACAAGAGCTATTTAATGATTTTATCATACATTCTTAATCATGGGTTTTACAATATTAATAATAATAATAATAATAATATCAGCAATAGCAATAACAACCAAAAACAAAAACAATAATAACAATAACGTTAATAATAATAATAATAATAATAATAATAATAATAATAATAATAATAATAATAATAATAATAATAATAATAATAATCATAATACAATATGTGATAACCCTGCCAATGGTAACTCGTGCTCCCGATACTAGAAAATTCAAACCAAACTAGCACTAAACTATCTTCTTTAAGGAGGAAAGGTAGGAAGTTTGGCGACTCCTCAGTGGTTCCTTCCTGTTAAAATCAGACATAGTTCAGCACAAGTTTGTTTTAATTCGCCAGGACATGTGTCTGTAGGGGGGGTTTGAACAAGTTTTGGCGTGGGATTCTAAACTTTAGATGTGTTTATGACGCCTGAATATTTTTTTTTCTATATTTTTTATCCCTGAGTTTCCCTCTGCTTCAAAGTCCTGTCTATTTGCAAATTTAGTTTGATAAAGTATAAATACAGTGTTTGGTGAAGATTGGGGTGAATGGATATAAATGTAGAGGTTAAAATAGATTCTTTTATTAATGTTTTATCTATTGTTTCATGCTTTATTAATAGTCGACTACTAAATATTATCATTATTAACGTTAACATGTGATAATGCAAGTTGAGAGAGAGAGAGAGAGCATTTTTTTTAACTGGTTATGAAGCGCCGTGTATTTGGTGCATAGAACTCTATCATTATGCATTCTATTTAACAAACTGAATGCTGAATATCTTTTCCCTGTTGTATTGTTAGCTAATTTATTGTTCTCAGATAATAAGAGAACACTACATTTATTTTAACAATCATTCTCTATGGACAATAATATCTGGCTATATCTAGTGAACAATCATTTACCGCCTCTATATATGAAGTGAAATTGAAATTGGCCAAAAACGTTGAGCAATAGTTACAGTAACAAAAGAACGTAGGGGAGTTTTAATTAGTACAGGACATTCGCGAATTAATAATACCTGTAACTTACGCTGGCCTAAGGCATCAGTGACAGACCAGTATACAGTATACTCCAACACTCAACTCCAGACGAAACCTCACCCAGATCTTGGTCGCTAGGATGCGCTTCGCTGTTTGGATCTTTCTGGGAGGTAAGATTGATTTTATATATTATTTATATTATTAATAATGTGTCTTCTTTTCCTGATGTATGGTAAGCTTTATCACCCCTTCACTATATTTACGTATGTTCATCAGCTACAACAAAGGTAAGTCGGGTTGGGGAGGAGAGTTCTGCTCATAGTTCTGCGAAAATAAGGCATCAGATTCCTATCCGGGTACTAGGAGTGATATTGACATAAATATAACTATGTACGATGATGCCTCGTCAGCTGTGAATGATGGGATAATGAATAGTCTTCCACTATCTCCTGGAGGTCCCTGGTGTCTATTGCAGAGGGACTGCAATCACCACAATTAAGAGAAAGAGCTCCCCAGAAGACGACCTGATACAGCAAACAGTCTCTCACCTGGTTGATGAGTCACCTCAAGGATTTAGTCTTCCAGCCGTGCTTCATCTATTGTGGTTGAAAAAGGAATGGACGTACTTTTCTATAGCAAAATTCTCAGGAGCCTATACTACTCCTTGGGTTAATACTGGGCAGTCTATTTATGTTACTTTTAAGAGCCAGTTATGGCTACTTTGTTCTTTAGTGGTGGGTAGCCACTTGTCCCTCAACGAAAGCCACTTTCCGTCGGCGGTGGTCAACTCTCCCAACAAGAGATTTTGTGTCATCAGGTTTTCCGTTAGAAGTCAGACCCTCCCAGAGTAGCGGTTTCGACAGAGAGGAACGATAAACCACGACTTAAGTTTTCCAGGATGTTGTATAAAACGTTTACGATTCAGGAGACATTGGGGGGAGAGGTACAAGAGAGAGGACATACAGCGAGCAAGCGAGAGAGAGAGAGAGAGAGAGGCACAGCGCTAGGAAGATAAGAAAACGAGAGTGAAGTGTGTCAAGGGGTAGGAGGAAGGATTCCAGATAAGGGGAGGGTAGGACGTGCGCGTGCTTTTTTTTTGGGGATTAGCCCACCTGGGCACAGGTCACTGACGCACATCAGGGCCCGGGGGGCGAAAATTTAATAATAATAATAATTCATAGTAAATAAAATTTATAATAAAAGGTAAAAAAAATATTGATGGTAATAATAATAATAACAATACTGTGATAATAATAAATACAAAGAAATGCAAGAATGAAAAAAATCAACAGTGAGAAACGCTATATGTATGTTGTTTTGTCATGTAATAGAAACAATTGAGACCCTACAATTGTGTGTAAATGAGGCAGAAAGTCAGATCAGCAACCTGGGACTTGGTCACAATTTTCGTGATGCCATTAGGCAGCAGGGTCTACCATTAGACAACACATTATGCTGCCAATATCTTCCCAGGCGGTAGTACCTCCCTGTTCGGTAGCTGCCTACTACCTGCTACCTGTGTGTGTGTGTGTGTAGACGTATGAGTGCCTGTGCGTGCATGCGTTCGTACGTGCGTTCAAGTGTACGCGTGTGCATATGCGTGCGCTTGTCACGGGTTTCAGTAAAGAAAAGTGTACTGTAACTGGGTAGAAAGACGAGGAGATGTTCATGGTTAAGGAAATAGGGGGGGTGGGTGGTGCCAAGAATTGGGAAGGGGGAAGGACTGACATTTAGGAAATTGGTTGAATTGGGTTGATAAATGAGGAGGTGAGGACGGGTTTTGGGTGAGGAAGATTGGAAGGGGTAGAGGAAATGGGAAAAAAAGAAGGAATGGGAGGAAAGAAAGAGAATGGGAGAAAGAGGAGAAGTAGAACACTGAGTGAAGAATGGTAAGAGAAGGGATGGGAGGGGAGGCAGTAGTAGCGTTTTGTTGAAATGTTGGGAGAGAAAGAGGGTTATGGGTGAGAGAGGTGGCTGCAAGTCAGGGTTATGGGTGTAAGAAGGAAGGAAGAGAGAGAGAGAGAGACATATATGTAGTGAGTGGGAGGTAGAGTGTGTGATTATTGTGCAGGAGAAAGAGAGGGAGATTTATGGATAACTAAGAGGGGTGGAGGGAGCAGTTTTCTGGTGAGAGGATGCGTAGGAAAGAGGGGGTCTAAGTGACAGGCTGAGTAGGAGGAAGGGAGGGAGGGAGGGAGGGCTCTTAAGTGATAGGCTAAGTTGGGGGAAGGGAGAAGGGTGGGTTTCAGTGTTTTTGGTGAGATAATAGGAAAAACTAAAGGAGAATTATGCGTGACAGTCTTAAAGATTGGGGGATAGATTTCGGGTAATGAATTCAATGGTATGGGGGAGAATTTTTTGACAGGGAGTGAGAAGGAGGGTGGAAGATGTGATGAGAGGGAGGGAAGGAGAGATAAATAATAGACCGGGAGAAATTATAGTGAAAGGGGAGAGGGAAGGAAGGCTATTAGTGAGAAATTGGTTTAGGAAACCCCAGGGAGGCTTGTTAGAGAGAGAGAGGGAGAGAGAGAGAGAGATATTTAATTGGAGTTTTGTTCTTTCGAAGTTCACTGATGTTTCTGATAAAGTTAATGCTTACAGATACACAAATGACTAAAAAGATTACGTATAGAAGATGGTATCTGAGGATAAACTTACGATGAACCTGTTAATAAACAAGGAAACAAATACACAAACCTATGGAAAGAATACATACCACAAGCAATTGTTAACACATACTTTCATATTAGAATAAAACAAAGCAAACGACGCATATAGACGTATAAACTTTAAAAACAAACGCAATGAAACAATACGACCATTCACATAAATACACACAAAGAAACACATACCCACTTTGACATACACACAAACACTACACACTCATAACCAACAAGCACACACACTCATACTCACACACTATCATCTAGCTGCCGACGACCATCATGCTGCGGTCATCATTACTGCGCTAAATTTTACTCCGCTACACTAATTACGGAGCCAAGAGAACATCAGCAAAGTGCTAACACATAATGTAATTAACCGTGTGGGGTGAAGGAGGAACTCTACAACAATGGTTCTTAAACGGGGGAAATTTTATGCAGTGTAATACTTTGTGGCAAAGAACCAGTTCCAAAAATCTCGTTGAGATAGATATTTTGTTTGCCAATTTTAGGCATTACCTAAGAATAATTATTTCTCTGTTCATCTATGAGTTATATAAATATATCTTGAACAAAAACTGTAGTAATTTTCTGAGTTTCTTTTTTTTCGAATTGGAAGGGGGAAATGTTCTTAGTGGAAGATGGAAAGGGGGAAATCAGGTGGAAAATGTTAAGAACCCTTGCTCTACAGGATATCATCCGCCATCTTCCATAATTGTAAGTTATTACAGTAAGACGACCAGCACAGTCCGCCCCTATGAGAGGGAGAAGCTGACTCTGCTTCTCTTAAAGTTCTCTTATTGCAGGTGAAAACATGGAAGAAAATATAATAGTTTCCTTTATATACCTGAGCAAAACGTCGACCTATTCACCCTTCAAGAAATATTACAAGAGCAGGGAGATGTGTAGAAAATTAAACAAAGTTAACAGTGTGATGTAAGGTGGTGTGGCGTGAACTATAAGTTGTCTCCGTAACACATGTTTAGTGGGTCAGCGTGGCATTTATGTACATATTGTTTTTCCAAAAGGATAAAACGCCTCAGAAGATACGGCAGATTAGGAGTCTCCCGCCTTATAACCTTTATTTCCAAAGTTTGACGATCATTAACCATTGGTACCAAGACAAGGAGGTGGACACTAAGCGGGTCACCAGTAGCATAGGAGTTTCACAAGGAACCTCTCCTCATCTCGGTGTGGGAGAAGCATGTTTTAAAGACACTTCAGCAAAATAAAGTTGGTTTATATAGGTGTCGTTGTTATTGAAACCCGCGTCTTTTTAACTGGGTGAAAAAAATTCTTTCAACAATGCAATGAAGTGTTTTAACAAAATAGTACTAATTCGGTGTACTCCATCTCTCAAACGTAACGTTTTTGGCTGTCTTTGCGTAAACTGTTTGTAGAACAAACATTTACCAGAGTGTTTTCTATAAAATGTATGTAATTATATACTATTATGTTTCCTTAAACCATTAATAGTAAGTATCAGACTTCTGAATTAAAACTTTATCAACAAAAATAGGGATGATTCAAATACTAAATGCTTCCTTGGAATATATTTCTGAACCACTTGCAAATGGTCGACGGTATTATCATGACTTTTTAATTCTGTACGTTCGCTAGGTAATTTCATCCTGTATATTTGTGTTATCAAAGCAGACGCAATAACAAAGGAGCCTGGGATAATTGAATGTGTAATGATGATAAAAAGAAACGAATGATTGAGATATTGATGACTAAAATTAAAAAGGCTTTGAGCAAAAATAAACTAAAGTATTAAACAGGACGTCTGCAGTGTACACGTGTAGAGTATAACAGAGTATTTGAAATAATTAGAAAGAAAAAGGGTAAAATAGGTGGGTTATGGTGAAATAAGATGATACAAAGTGACATAATTATAAGACTCAGTAATCCAATGCTATAAACCAGATTGAAGTTAAGGTATTAGATGAGAGAGAATTAAAGTTAGAACCACTGACAAGAACTAGATAAACTGTATCGGAAGTTTCGATGTAAAAGAATGAAAGTGATGGTAGACATTCAAATGCAAGTGTGGGTGGTAGGCAAATAGCTTGGATTCCAGGATTACTTGGAACACCAGGAATGAAATGAAATGGTGAAAGAGGTAGAACATGGTGCTGAGAGAGGGTTGGTGGTAGGGAACACTCAGTTTTAGAAAGAAGAGAATTCATTTGCATGCATGAAGATGTGTTAGTGGAAGAAGTGGAGTCATTACGCTGTTGGATGGTAGCCACAAAACGGCCATGGAAGAAGGGTGATGTAACGTGCCAAGAGAAATTTTACGAAGAGTTTAAGTATAATAATAAACAAAAGAAACAGAATACAAAATAACACCAAAAAATTAAATATTAATCCTTTACAAAATTCTCAACTTTTATTTTACTCAATTTAATTTTAATATCATTCATCAGTTCCTCACTTGAACTTCAGACTTTTATAACCTCCCAAGGCTCTTTTTTGTCAACTAACTTAAGCAGTAATTTAATACC